ACTTTCGCGGCTCAAAAGCGCTTGATAAAAGCACGACAGCTCAGCAACGATAAGCTGACTCCGCCTATGAGGGCGGAGTCAACAAGTTCCACCTCGATCATTTTTTCATTACCAAGATTCGTTATTTTCAACGGGTTCTTTTGCTTTTTCCTTCTTAAGAGTTGTACTTAAACATGATCTGACGGTTCTGAAGCTCTACAACCTGTGAAAGGCGATCGCGAGCGCTGTCTTGAGGCTGTCTTTGAGAGGAAATCACACTGCCTAAAGTGCTAAAAATAGCCCGTTTCAGGAAAAAGGTCGAACGGTTGACCCATATGTGAAGATGTATCTGTTACCAGAACGGCGGAATCACTGTAAGACAAGAATTTGTAAGAAGACACTGGACCCTGATTTCAACGAAATGTTCTCATTCGATGTTCCGTTTAACAGCTTATCAGGCAGAATGTTACAAGTAAGGAACATTTCCAAATTTCAATTCCATTTTTTTATTTTCCTTATAAGAACCCTCGAACTACAAGAGCTTGATAAGGGCAGACGTGGGGTAGAGGGTAACAGTCAAACTGCAGGGAACCAGCAGTACTCTCCAAGATACATGTGTTATTGGCGTTCTTTTCCTCATCCTCTAACGACACAGTCCACGCTGAATGTGCAGGCGGAGCCAGTAGACCATTGTGATTTCTCTTTATCGTTAAAGGAAGGGGCTATCCATTAAGAAAGGTACAATGTATCTCTGTCTCCGCCCTCACATTTAGATGATTAGCCTTTCAAAACACAGAGTTTGAACTTCGACGGAGATTGCGCTAGTATGAAACTCATTATGGGCAGTTTCATACAGGCAGGGCAACCTCAGTTTTCCTGGAATGCTGCCAACTTTTAGTTCAGTTTTCGAGCCACCGTAAGATCGTTCTGTGAAAGGTAGTTGAATATAGTGTGCCCTTGATATCGTCGCAATCGGTCTGGGCGGTATAGGAGGCGTGGAATAAAGTCAGCCCCGGATGAGTTTTTTACCAGTGGCAACCGGTTCAAGGAAGAAAACACTCGAACGAATTCTGTGCCTGCTGACACCGCCCGGACTGATTGCAGCGATATCATCTGTGAATCCTACTATATATAATCCGCTAAGTTTGTCTGTTGGTGTGTTGTGTGTGTGTGGATGTGTGTCTGTATGTGTGTTTGACCGGAAATTCATAACTTTCTCAAACAGCGAACAATAGCAAACTGATAGAGATGTGTGTAGAGGTCGGGCAGGAACATTATTGGTGGGTGGCAGGAAGCGATAGCAGTTGATAAGATACCATAAGGGGCCGTATAAAGGCGAAGTCAGCAAATTCATAACGCGCGTCACAGCAAGACTAGAGCGTTGGTTCCAAGAAGTAAGATAGGAGGCAGGACGGGAACATTATTGGTGGGTGGCAGGAAGTGATAAGAGCTGATAAGATACCACAAGGGGCCTTAAAAGAGTGAGTTACCTAATTCATAACACCGGCCACAGCAGCGATGGGACGTTGGTTTCAAGAAGTTAGATAGGGGGCAGGATGGGAACATTATTGGTGGGTGACAGGAAGTGATAACAGCTGATAAGATACCACAAGGGGCCTTAAAAAGAGTGAGTTACCTAATTCATAACACCGGCCACAGCAGCGATGGGACGTTGATTTCAAGAAGTTAGATAGGGGGCAGGATGGGAACATTATTGGTGGGTGGCAGGACGTGATAACAGCTGATAAGCTGATGAGCTTCCTGCCACCCACCAACTGATAAACTTCAGCACCGGTGCCCAAGGAACAATGGTTAGAGGCTTCGTGAGTCAAGTATTCTATCCCTTAGCGATATGGTTACGACCGCTAAGCTCTCGAGTTTCGACGAAAATTATAAGCCCTGGAAGCTGCTCAACGGAAGTACTAGGATGTGAGAAATGTGAGGATATATCACCATGATATCGATGTTATTACAATCAAAAGTCTTTCAACCGCTAAGCTGTCCTATTTCCAACGGATGATGAGTGTTTCGTAGAAATGTGATAAGCACCAGACATTAGCAAACGTTCATTAAATAGGAGAATCATAATGAAATAGGCCGTATTCTAAAAAATTGTAATCGGGCGAAGTGTTCGGGGTCAATACAGGAATCCTGTCAGCGCAGTACCATTACCATAGGTTCAACCATACGCGCAGTAGTGCGCGTCAGCCAAGCTTGTGATATATAATTGGCTAATCAAAAACCAGGGAGATCCGCGTAATCCGTGCGGGCGGAGCTCAGCACTCCACTGTTCCGTCCTGATTGGTCTATCCCTCCTTTTTGAAACGGTAAGGATAAGATCCGCGCCAGATAGGCACAGCAAGAGACTCATTTAACCATAGACACTGCAGCGTAGATGTGCCTTCGAAAAGGCTAACGATATCTCACAATCTCAGCCATGATTTTGTATTCTGCAATTGGTTTGAGCCGTCATTGGTGTTCAATACCGTATCCAGTCTTCAAGAGAACTAATCTTATTACGGTGTTTTTTAGTTCACCGTGTACGATTTCGATCGATTCACCCGGCACGGTTTGATAGGGAACGTTATAATGAGAGATCTGTTCGATAAAAGTGATCTTTACACTTGGACTGAGTACACCATGCAAATCGTTGGCAGTCAGGTTCGTCTCACTTTGAGCTTCAACTATGTCTTCCAGTAGCATTCATCGAGACTTCCAATTAGAGATTAACATCGTCATTTAAACTAAGTATATTATTATTCAATAATTATTAATTACCATTTCAAGGAAAAGAACGATTTCGGAGACTTATTACTGTATTTGTTGTATTCTCCTAATGAACAAAAACTATATGTTACCGTAGCCAAGGCGTACAATCTCCGACCAATGGATATTACGGGAGCCTCAGGTAAGATAAGACTTCCATGGAAAGACTTAAAATTATTAGTTTATGAAAACAGGCGGGATAAAGTACCCCAAACTACGCGTAAAACTGAGTGCGTAGGGGTGGCGAGTGCACACAACACCACTCAGTTTACGCCTAGGCAGCCCTTGGCTGGAAAGCGGTATCCGCCTCGCTCTCGCTCCTCGACTTCGCCATAGAACTTCCCCTCCCCCCCCTCGCCCGTCTCATCAACCAGTGTGTGCAAAGGGTGTGCAGCACAGGCTAACGAACTAGGGCAGCGAAACCGGCTTTCAGTTTACCGGCTTGTGGTTCACGGGACAGACACATTCGATCCCACGCGCATTTCTTTGAGTTACTGTAGCCCGCTTGTTCCTAAATTTGTAATGTTGTCATATAGACTGTAATTACCGTATCAATTAACTTGAGTACTACAGATCCATACGTGAAAGTGGAACAAGTTTATCGTGGTAAACGCGTGAAATTACGCAAATCAACGTGCAAAAGGGCCAACTTGAACCCTGTCTATCACGAAACTTTGGAGTACGATCTGCCACTGAATCAAATAGCGGAGACAAACATTCTCGTACAGGTCATGGATTGGGATCGGTGAGTTTTGTCTATTACTGTCCTAAGGCACTGTTCGGCTCAGGGGGGGGGACAACTTGCACTTTTGCTAATTTCTTTTACTAGTTCCTGTTCACTTAAATGCCCCCTTTAGTGAGACCTGTAAACTCTTGTCCAGTATTAAACGAAGTTCCTGCTGTTACACAACCCTAAAAGAATTTAAAGGTTTGTACAGGAGCTATGGGCAGTGATCGGTAGAAACCAGTGAAATGTCCCCTCTAACCCGAACTGCGCCAAACCATACCTTTGAGCTCTTGGTTTACTTTGGTAGCTATGAACTTTGTTTTCAGAATAGGGAAAGATGACCTGTTGGGATGCTGTGTTCTTGGCAAGGATAGCCCAACAGTGGAAGGCCGAACTCAATGGGAGAATTGCTTCCTGTCACTTGCTCAAACGGAGGTGAATGGACAGGTAACACCAACAACCGTTTTTTCCTGGTTGAAAAATATCGTATTTTTCCAGAAAAGGAAACCAATTGGACAATGGCACAGTATCCTATCGGAAGTTCCCGAGCAGTTCCAGAATATACCAAAAGCGAAGAAATAGCTCACTTTACCTTGATGGAACTTGTCAAGGAGGAACGGTCTCACTCTACCGGCCTGTCCCTCCGCATCCAAGGAGACAGACCGGTTCTCTCTGCAAACTGGTACAATGCTTCACTGGATCTCAGCTTATAATTTGCTGTGAATGGCTCTCGTCGTGCTGGATTTTATCGCCGACTTCTTTGAAAATGATGATGATTATTGATAATTTGATTACAATTACTTTGCTCACTACTTACGTTGACACGGGAAATAAATGTGTTTTTAATAAACAAAAACTTTTTACTAGTACAGAAGCATAATGAATCTCACACTATGCACAAAATGTACGCTCACCTTCGTCGATCGTGATCCTAGCCGTCAGTGGGGAGAACGGGTCCGCATCCCAGTACCGTGCCGCTTTCTCCGGGCAAAAGTGCACGGGAACGGGACTAGAAGGTATTGATACTTGGGGTCGTCCCCATACTTGGTCGCTCTCGCACGCCCAGCCACACGAATAAGCCACAGCCAAACACGCTACCTGTCTGCGCCCTCTCAGGCAGCGTTCGGACTTCGCGCTTCGGTCGCGCGTTGGGCGCGATCGATGCGCATGCTTTCGACTGCATCGATCGCGTCGAACGCGCGACCGAAGCGCTACCGTCGCGAAGTCTGAACGCTGCTTCACTTCTGACTATTCACTAGCGCTGAGTGCACGTTCCGCTGTGTCACTGTGTCAGCTTGGTATCGACGTAAATGCTACACATTTAGGATAGCTGGGGGGGGGGGGGATGGGGACTGCCATTCTTCCTCCGATATCAATAGAATGAGAATCAGGAATCATTGAAGGCTCGAGATGTGGCCAGACAGGAGACGAGAAGTTCGATGACGTCAGAATGCTCATTCTTATACGCCGGAGGGTAAAGAAATGATTCAGACTGGTTCTCTTGGTGATTGTGATAGGATAAAGGATCACTGGTGAGGTCGACCCTTTCCTTTCGACCATTTCTAGTTTTTCAATACCAGCAGCTGGTTCTATATGACAAGTAAGTAGTTTGTCTATAATGGGCTGTGATGAAGAATTGGGTGGCCTGGAGCCTTATCCATACTTCCATTCGGGCGCAGCGAAGAGTGCGAATTATTCCCAGCATTTCCTGTTGGGGGAGATTCCACTAGATTGGTGCAATCATGGTCAACCTTAGATCTTGTGGGGAGAATACTACATAGAAGCAGCTTAAGAAGACGGGATCGCCGGGGGGTGCGTAACAACAATGGTTCGGTCGCTGCATGGCGACTCGGGTAATGGCCCATGCGGTGTCCAGGAGAGGGTTTTCCATAGGCCACGGCATGATGCACTTCTGATGGGAGCATGGTTCTGTTGGAATAAAAATACCGCCCTCTAAACACATACTTACGGGCGTTGTGCCGCGGCAACGTCTAAAAGCCTCCTCATGGGCGACGGTCTTGTACGTCCCCCTTCCCTCAAGGTGAAGCATAGCACACAGCCCCTGGCAGACTGGAGTGGCGGTTCTGATCAACTGAATATCGATTGCCATTATGATGATTTGTTTCTTAAGAGCACCCAAATGCTATGAAACTAGGGAAAGGTAAAGTCATTGGAAAGCGTTGGCGAATTCTGAAGCGGATTGGAGAAGGAGGATTTGGAGCCGTGTATAAAGTTGAAAACATCGATACAAATGAACTAGTAAGTTCGCTACCAAACTGATATTCAAAATCATCGGCAGGGCTGAAGATATAGTGTGTGTGAAACGGGAAAAATCAAATTAATAACTAGAACAAGGCCAAGCACGACCACCACTTCTCAGCGACGAGCTAGGAATCCTTGGTGAGATTTCCCCAGCGGTGCTATACTTGGGAACACGGGCACCATGAACTGGTTGCTAATCTTGCACAGCACTGATCGACATCCATATTTCACATGTGCAGGGTTGCGACTAAGGTTTTCATGTAGCCTATACTTGTACTAATGGTGTGCTGTTCTTCCTTGAGCGATATACGTCTCAGGGAGGGACCATTTTCTAGCGAAGTTCCAGCGAGACTAGTCCACGCCATACGC